TAAAAAATACATAGATATTGCTAATATAGGAAGGAAATCAATACCAAACGTGGCTAGTGGAAAAATTGATTTAAATTTAATCATTTTCGAATGAGAGTCAAAATTACCCTCAAAGCCTCATTTTTGGGAGAGAGTGTCAATGGAGAAGTTATTCTAGAGAAAATTTCACTATATGTCATCGACCATAAGAAATCTGTAGATATAATTTATATAGCTTAAAATCGGTTCCAATTCTAAAAACACAATAATATTTTTCGTATTTTTAGACGTTTCTTGCAGAGATGCCAAATTTTCCCAAAAACTTCATTTTACGACGATGTTGCCAGTGGAAGAAATATTCTATAACAGATTTTAGTATGTGTCGCCGAATACAGGAAATTTGGAATTGTAATATTTACCACCCAAAAATAGGTTACAATTTGGGTATCGGCTATAATTTTGGAAGTCAATAATATTTTGGTCTTTTTTGGACGTTTTTCGAATGCATATTGCCACATAAAGCTTCATTTCAGGACTATGTTGCCAATTAAAGAAGTATTCTATAACATGTCGCTGAATACAGGCAATCTGAAATTTTAAGATTTACCCCCAAAAATATGTTACAATTGTGGTATCGGTTATAATTTTGGAAGTCAATAATATTTTTTGTCCTTTTTGGACATTTTTGGATTAGATGCAAAATTTTCCCACGGAACTTCATTTTACGACAATATTGCCAATGAAAGAAGTGTTCGATAACGGATTTTAAGATGTGCCGTCGAATACAGGAAATCTGAAGTTGTATTATTTACTCCCCAAAAATAGGTTACAATTTGGGTATATTTAAAATATTAACAATATTTATGGGTATTTTTTGGACATTTTTCGAATGGATGCCTATTTTTCCCACAAGAATGTATTTTAGAAAGATCTTGTCAATGGAAAAAATATTCTAGATAAGATTTCACTATGGGTCATCAAACACAAGAAATTTGTTAATGTTATATTTATAAGCCTAATATCGAGATCAATAGGAGTATATGGAGAATTTTAGTGTTTTTGGTTATTTTTTTTTCTTTTGATATTTTCGTATTTAAGACCAATTCTCAAAAAACAAAATTATTTGGTGATATTGGAAACAAGGAAACAAATATTCTACATTAAATTCCACTGTGGACCGAGCATAATAAACCAATATATAATATACATACATTTACCAGTTATCGGTAAGAAATTTGGTTATATATTACAAATCACATTTTTTGGGTCTTTTTAAATGCATATTTCGAAAAGAGCATAGTTATCTCTTTAGACTTTGTTTTTGTGGAAATATTCTACACTGATTTTCAAACTGGGGTCTCCGAACAAGGAAACCCGGTCTGTTCATTCTTAATCTGAAAAAAAGGGTTAAATTTTGGGTGTGTGGCAAAATTAACCGATTTTTGGGATTTTTTGTATTTATGTGAAAAAGTGCCCAAATCTTCCATAATACTTTATTTTAAAAGGTTGGTATCAATGAAGAAAATGTTATACGCTAAATTTCATTGTAAGACATCAAACAAGATGTATCTGTAGCTGGACTATATATCTGATATATATCGGTTTTAAATTGAGCGTATTATAAAATCAATCGAATTTTTTGGGATTTTTTATCTTTTTGGCAATAAGAGCCGGATTCTCATAAAAGGCTCTGTTTTTGTGGGTTGGTGTAAATGCCGAACAAGAGAATCGGTCGGTTAAATATTTATCTGGTAAAAATGCTTTCAAATTGGGTGTTTTGTAAAATTCACATTTTTTGGAAATTTTCCAAAAAGTGCCCAATTATCCCATATTACTTTGTTTTAGAGGAGGAGTATAAAAGGAACAAAAATTCTACACGAAATTCCAATATGTGTCACCGAACAAGATAAATCTCTAGCTACAATATATATCTGACATATATCGATCTTAAATTGATCATATTGTAAAATAAACAGAATTTTTGGGAATATTTGTATTTTTGAGAGAACGCATCCGATTCTCTTATAAATCTTGATTTTTGTAGGTTGGTGTAAATAGGAAAAATTTTCTGTACTAAATTCCATAATGGGTTGCCGAACAAGAAAAATCTGTAGCAGCAATATATAACTGTCATATATCGATCTTAAATTGATCATATTGTAACATAAACTGAATTTTTGGGAATATTTGCATTTTTGGGAGCAAGCGCCCAATTCTCTTATAAATCTTGATTTTTGTAGGTTCGTGTAAATAGGAAAAAGTTTCTATACTAAATTCCATAATGGGTTGGGGAACAAGAAAAATCTGTACCTGCAATATATAACTGCCGTACATTGGCTTGAATTTGGGTATATTTTAAAATCAGCAAAATTTTTTGGGAATTTTTATATTTTTGGAAATAAGCGACCAATTCTCATATAAGGCTCTGTTTTTGTGGGTTGATGTGAATGGCGAAAATACTCTACACTAAATTCCACAATGGGTCGTCGAACAAGGGAAATCGATCGGTGAAATATTTCTTTGGTAAAAATGCGTTCAAAGTTGGGTGTTTTATAAAATTCACCTTTTTTGGGAATTTTCCAATTGGTGCCCAATTCTCCCATATAACTTTGTTTTTGAGGAGAGGTGTAAAAGAGAAAAATATCCTTCACTAAATTTCACTATGAGTCACCGAACCAGGTATATTTGTAGCTGCAATATATAACTGACATATGTCGGTCTTAAATTGAGAATATTGTAACATAAACAGAATTTTTGGGAATATTTGTATTTTTGGGAGAACGCGTCCAATTCTCTTATAAATCTTGATTTTTGTGGGTTGGTGTAAATAGAAAAAAGTTTCTGTACTAAATTCCATAATGGGTTGCCGAACAAGAAAAATCAGTAGCTGCAATATATAACTGCTACATATCGGCTTGAATTTGGGTATATTTTAAATTAGCAAATTTTTTTGTGAATTTTTATATTTTTGGGAATAAGCGACCAATTCTCATATAAGGATCTGTTTTTGTGGGTCGGTGTAAATGGCGAAGATATTCTGCACTAAATTCCACTATGGGTCGTCGAACAAGGGAAATCAATCGGTTAAATATTTCTCTGGTAAAAATTCGTTCAAAATTGGGTGTTTCGTAAAATTTAAATTTTTTGGGAATATTCAATGTTATGTCCAGTTCTCCCATACTACTTTTTTTTGAGTAGGAGTGTAAAGGGAAAAAATATTCTTGACTAAATTTCACTATGGGTCACCGAACAAGATAAATCTGTAGCTGCAATATATAACTGCCATATATCGATCTTAAATTGATCATATTGTAACATAAACTGAATTTTTGGGAATATTTGTATTTTTGGGAGAACGCATCCGATTCTCTTATAAATCTTGATTTTTGTAGGTTGGTGTAAATAGGAAAAAGTTTCTGTACTAAATTCCATAATGGGTTGCCGAACAAGAAAAATCTGTAGCTACAATATATAACTGCTATATATCGGTTTGAATTTGGGTATATTTTAAAATCAGAAAAATTTTTTGTGTATTTTTATATTTTTGGGAATAAGCGACCAATTCTCATATAAGGCTCTGTTTTTGTGGATCGGTGTAAATGGCGAAGATATTCTACACTAAATTCCACAATGGGTCGTCGAACAAGGGAAATCAATCGGTTTAATATTTCTCTGGTAAAAGTTGGTTCTCAAAGTTGGGTGTTTTGTAAAATTCACCTTTTTTGGGAATATTCAAAGTAGTGCCCAATTCTACCATATAACTTTGTTTTTGAGGGTAAGCGTAAAAGGAGAAAATATTCTACACGAAATTCCAGTATGGGTCACCGAACAAGATAAATCTGTAGCTGCACTATATATCCGACATATATCGGTCTTAAATTGAGCATATTGTAACATAAACAGAATTTTTGGGAATATTTGTATTTTTGAGAGAACGCATCCGATGCTCTTATAAATCTTGATTCTTGTAGGAAAAAGTTTCTGTACTAAATTCCATAATGGGTTGCCGAACAAGAAAAATCTGTAGCTGCAATATATAATTGCCATATATCGGCTTGAATTTTGGGTATATTTTAAAATCAGCAAAATTTTTTGGTAATTTTTATATTTTTGGGAATAAGCGACCAATTCTCATATAAGGCTCTGTTTTTGTGGATTGGTGTAAATGGCGAAAATTGTCTACACTAAATTCCGTACTGGGCTGCCGAACAAGGAAAATCGATCGGTTAGGTATTTATCTGTTAAAAATGCGTTCCAAGTTGGGTGTACTGTAAAGTTGACATTTTCTTTTTTTTTTTTGGGAATTTTCAAAGTGATGTCCCGTTCTCCCATAATACTTTGTTTTTGAGGAGAAGTGTAAAAGGAAAAAATATTCTTCACTAAATTTCACTATGAGTCTACGACGGTTTAAATTTGTGTATATTGTAGAATTAGCAGATTTTTGGGGAATTTTTATATTTTTGAAAATAAGCGCCAAATTCTCCCATAACGCTTTGTTTTCGTGGGTTGATATAAACGGCGAAAATATTCTACACTAAATTCCATTATGGGTCGCCGAACAAAAGAAATCGCTAGGTTCATTATTTATCTGGTAAAAATGCGTTAAAATGTAGGATATTAAGAAGTTTACATTTTTTTTTTGGGTATTATCTTCAATATTCCAGTTGTTCCATATTTCTTAATTTTTAAAGGTGGGTGTAAAAGAAAAAAATGTTCTACACTAAACTCCGATATGGGTCACCCGATAAAGAAAATCTGTGGGTACATTATTTAGCCGACAAATTTTGAAAAAATTTTGGGTGTTTCATAAAATTTTTCAATTTTTCGGGGAATTTTAGGTATTTTTGTAAATCGTCACATAAAGCATTGTTTTCGGGGGTGAGTGTAAAGGGAGAACATTATTCTGCTCTAAATTTAAATGTGAGTCAACGACAAAATCAAATTTTTTTAATGTCATTATTTATTTTTTTTTTTTTTAAATTCCAAAACTAATTTCAAAATCCATTTCTCTTTCATTGCAGCTCCAGCAAACGAAAGGCGGTGCCCCCTCAACCCAAAAGCAGGATTTAAGTTTTCTCAACGAAGCCTCCCCCATCTATGTGACCTCATTTAATAGTAATCATACGGCCTGCAACAGTACCACACTCACCACAGCCGGTGTTGCTGCCACATCGACGGGCACAGCTGGTCTGATTAGTGCCACGACAGTAACACCCACAGCCGTTGCATCGACCACAACAAATGCCACATTGTCCAAGCCGAAGACCGTACCAGCCAGTGGTGTAGCTTTGTCGACGGCCATTGCCGGTGTGGGAGCGGCAGCAACAGCTGTTAAGGCCGCCTCATTAGGGCCCATAACCGGAAACACCTCAATAGCGGCGGATAGAAATGCCAATAATTTTACTCAGGCTTTAGCTACAACAGCGACAACAACAACAACACCACAACCATCATCAATCACAGCAGCAGCAACAACAACACCAATATTGACAAATCACAATAGCATCTATCAGGCCACAGCCCTTAGCAAGCTACCCTCCTCCTTGCCGCACAAAAAATTGACCATTGCCCGAAGTCTCCAGCACCTGGAGGTCAAGGAAGAGGATGACGATGATGATGACTTGGCTGCATTAGGTGCCAATTTGTGTAACATTAATTTCATTAACTACAAGAATAAGCATGCCGAAATACCCACACCCACCAGCAGTAGTGCCCCGCTGAATATTCAACCATTTGTGGCAACAGCCCCTCATATTGTGGCCGGTGCCAGCTCCACGTTGGGCAGACGGAAATCTCAACCGAATAACACCACCATCAACAACTATCACCATCACCACCCACAGCAGCAGCATCCAGCCAATACAGTTACCGTTAGTGCCACCACAGTTGATGTTCATCGTTCGGCTCAGGGAGCAGCATCAACAGCGTATCACGATCACATACCACCGCCCTTGCAAATAGCCCCGGCCCATCACAAGGTGTATGTGGATGCCCAGACCTTAACCTCGCCCCGGTTGGCCAAGGAGGCACCAATTGGTTTGCCCGATATCAGCAAGACTGCAACCACAACAGCAGCAGCAACAACAACAGCTTCAGTAGCTGTTACAACAGCCACAAAGGCGGTACAAGCTTTAAATAACAACAATAATAATAACAATTTAAGATCCCTGGCAGCTTTATCATCATCAGCGGTGTCCAAAGCCAGTAGCAGCACCACCACCGCCACCAATACCAGCAACAACAATAACTCATCCCAACAACATTTACCATATTATAATGTTCATCATTTGGGCACTTTGCAACAGCTTTCCCAACCACTGACAGCAGCAACAGCAGCAGCTGCAACAACAATTCCCAGCATCAATGCACCCTGCTCCCAACAAGTCACCAGTAATAATAGCAGCATAGCTTCCAATTCCAACCAAACATCATCAATAATCAGCGCCACAGCATCAACGGCAACATCAGCAACAAAAGCCCTCAGTAGCAGCAGTAATCTTAGTAATAATTGTGATTTATATAATATATCAGCAACAACAAATAATCTTCAACAGCAACAACAACATCAGCATCAGCAGCAGCAACAACAACAACTACAACCACCGAGAAGAGAGGTAAGTTGTTGGAGCAAAACGTTAGAAGAAGAAAAAAAGGGGAAATTATTCAGGATTTCATAGTTAATTTACTCCCGGCAAAAATACAAAGCATACTTTTAGGGATCAGAAGATGATGTTAAGGAAAATATTCAAGACCTACATTTAAATATATTTTTGAGCAGTTTTTAGCGGTCCCACAAACTTCGTTTCTTTGGAGACCCCTAGTGAAGTTTCATTGGGAATATTTTCTTCTTTAACACCTGCCCTCTAAAATAATTATTTCGGGGAAAATTTGCCCTTCTTTGCAAAATAATGGCAATTTTTAGGACAAAAATGTCATTTTCACAATTTGAATGTTTTTATTTTATCGTTTTCCATTTGTTTGACAAATATCTCTTGTGTGGGGACCCATACTGAAATTTTATGGGGAATATTTTGTTCTTTATCACCCGCTCCCTAAAATAATTAATTTTGGAACTATTTACCCTTCTATTCTAAAACAACCAGAACTTTGGGCCAAAATTATATTTCCCACAAAGTTACCCCCTTTTTCTCTTTGTCTGACAAATATCTCTTGTGTAGGGACCCATAGTGAAATTTCATGGGGATTATTTTGTTCTTTATCACCTGCTCCATAAAATAATTAATTTAGGAACTATTTACCCTTCTATTCAAAAATAACCGGAATTTCGGGCAAAAATTATATTTCCCACAAGGTTACCCCATTTTTCTCTTTGTCCATTTGTCTGACAAGTAGCTCTTGTGTGGGGACCCATACTGAAATTTTGTGGGGAAAATTTTTTTCTTTATGACCTGCTCCCTAAAACAATTAATTTAGGAACTATTTACCCTTCTATTCAAAAATAACCAACATTTTGGGCTAAAATTATATTTCCCACAAAGTTACCCCCTTCTCTTTGTCCATTTGTCTGACAAGAAGCTCTTGTGTGGGGACCCGTAATGAAATTTTATGGGGAATATTTTTTTCTTTATGATCTCCTCCATAAATTATTTAATTAGGAACTATTTACCCTTCCATTCGAAAAACGTTAAAAAAATACTCAACATATTAATAATTTTTAAATATACCCCAATTTAACCCGATATTTCGCCTATAAATATATCAATTACAGATTTCTTGGGTTTGGCGACCCTTAGTGAAATTTTATACACAACATTTCTTCTCTTGGCAACATCTCCCAAAAATGAAGTTTTATGGGCAAAATTACGTCTATTCGAAAAACGTCCAAAAAATACCCAAAATATTATTAATTTTTAAATATATTCCAATTCTAGGCGATATTTGGCCTATAAACGTAACAATTACAGATATCCTGGATTTGGCGACCCCTAATGAAATTTTATACAGAACATTTCTTCTATTGGCAACATCTCCCAAAAATGAAGTTTTGTAGGCAAATTTTGGCCTAATTTCGAGAACGTCCAAAAAATTTCAAATCTTATTAATTTTTTCAATGTACCCCATTTCTGGTCGATATTTGGCCTATAAATATAGCAATTATTGATTTCTTGTGTTTGAGGACTCTAAATAAAATTACATGCAGAGCATATCTTCTATTGGCAACATCTCCAAAAAATGAAGTTTTATTGGCAAATTTGCGCCTATTCGAAAAAGGTCCAAAAAATACCCAAAATGTTATTAAATTTTAAATATATTCCAATTCTAGGCGATATTTGGCCTAAAAATATAGAAATTACAGATTTCTTGGGTTTGGCGACCCTTAGTAAAATTTTATACAGAACATTTCTTCTTTTGGCAACATCTCCCAAAAATGACATTTTATAGGCAAATTCGGTATAATTTCGAAAACGTCCAAAAAATACCCAAAAAATGATTATTTTTTAAATATATATTTCAATTCTAGCCGATATTTCGATTAAATATACGAATTACAGATTTCTTGGGTTTGACGACCCCTAGTGAAATTTTATAGAGAATATTTCTTCTATTGGCAACATCCCACAAAAATGACATTTTATGGGCAAATTTGCGCCTAATCGAAATACGTCCAAAATATACCCAAAATATTATTAATTTTTAAATATATTCCAATTCTAGGCGATATTTGGCCTATACTTATAGCATTTACAGATCTTTTGTGTTTGGCGACCCTAAGTGAAATTTTATACAGAATATTTCTTCTATTAGAAACATATCACAAAAATGAAGTTTTATGAGCAAATTTGGTATAAGTTCGAAAACGTTCAAAAAATGTCATTTCGAAAAACGTCCAAAAAATACGAAAAATATTATTAATTTTTAAATATATTCCAATTCTAGCCGACATTTGGCCTATAAACGTAACGATTACAGCTTTATTGGGTTTGGCGACCCCCAGTGAAATTTTGTATAGAACATATCTCCTATTGGTCACAAGTCCCAAAAATTTAGTCTTATGGGCAAATTTGCGTCTATTCGAAAAACGTCCAAAAAAATACGAAAAATATTATTAATTTTTAAATATACCCCAATTTTACCCGATTTTTCTCCTATAAATATAGTAATTACAGATTTCTTCTATTTAGCGACCCTAAGTGAAATTTTGTACAGAATATAACTCCTATTGGACATATCTCCCAAAAATGGAGTTTTATGCAAAAATTTGATATATATTCAAAAAACGGCCAAAACCAAATGAAAATATTATTTTCTTCCCATGTACCCCATTTCCGGTCGATATTTCGCCTATAAACGTAACAATTTCAGATTTCTTGGGTTTGGCGACCCCCAATAAAATTTTATAGAAAACATTTCTTCTATTGGAAACATCTCCCAAAAATTAAGTTTTATGGAAAAAATTGGCGTCTATTCGAAAAACGTTCAAAAAATACCCAATACCAATCCCTGGAACTTTCTCTTTTGGAGCTTTTCGATCCACATACCCTATTTTTTCTCAGTCCCCAAATTTTCCGACATCTAATTTTTAACTCGAATTCTAATATATATATATTTTTTAATTTTTTTCCTTTCCAGTTACTAACCGATGACGATGAGGATGAGACCGACGATATTTTACAATTGAATACAAATAGTTTATCAAATAATTTATCGCAATTAAACTATAGTCCAAATAGCAGCATATCAAGAGGTGGATTTGAATTATTATTAGGTGATCAATCGTTAAGACAGGATATAAGGTAAGTGAAAAATTCATTAAAATTTTTTAAATAAAGAAATTCGGAAATCTTCAGAATTCATAATTCTATGGAAAAGGTTTGCCAGAATTGACTCTCCGACTCTCGAAAATTTAAATGGTATTAAAAAGAATTCCCCCCAAAAAAAGACCCTCTCCCCCTCTTTTTCTTGAATTTTTTGTTAACCCAGGATGTCCTGGAAGTGCATGAGGGCTACTTGCATTTGTTATTAACTTCCAGGGAATTTTTTCTTATAAATATTTGTTTGTAGCAACAGAAAAGCGAGGGGAAGGGGGTCAATCGGATATGATATATGTGCGAGTGAGTCTGTGGGAATTGCAGTACAGCTAGCCAGCCAGCCAGCCAGCTATGGGAGATTGGTATCTGCAGCATATCTGGTGGCAATTCCAATGTTACTGCATGTCTTCTGGCTTATGTTGACAATGATGCTGTTACTTTACAACGGGATGTAATCTGTCACTTTTGTTTGTTGATATTTCAATTTTTCATTCGTGACATTTCTGCGCAAAGGGGGAGTTTTCATTCATTTGTGGAAAATTCATTACAAATGAGTGAAAATTCCTGTGGAGTTATTGTTTTTTCATTGCTACCTCTGCTGGTTTACACTTGAATATGGCTTATAACAACTGTCTATCCAGCAGCTGGTCGTGAGGAAGCTGTCGGGTTTTTTATTTTGTCGAATCTCTCTGAGACAAAGTGAAAATTGATGTCGGAAAGGAAAGAGAAAAAAAAAACAAACTTATGTATGCAGCAAAGGTGGGGGCGGGGAGGAGATAATAAAATATTAAAAAATGAAACTTTGTACCGGGGAATTTTCTTCATGCCATTGGGGTTTTTTATACAAATATGAGACTCTAACAGAATCATGATAAGCTTTTCATCAGATCTTCAATTAAAACTTAACTTCATTAAATTCTGCCAATTATTTCCAAAGTTATGGCCTCTAGAAAGTGATTACAGAAAAAATTGCAATTTACATAAATTTTGGGTACTCTCATAATTTGTGCCATATCTTGGGTATTTGAGGAGCTATAGGAACATAATTAATAGATTTCGAAGTCAGAGCTTTCCTCTTTCAAAATCCCCTTGATGCATAAAAATCACTTGTGTGGTCCACATGATATGTCAAGTAGAAGGGTACTACTAAAGAAATAACATGAAATCGAAAATCATAACTTTGTGCCAATTTTTTCCATAACTCGGGTATTTTTTCAGTTAAGTCTTCAGGATTTTTACTAATTTTAAAGCCATTGGCTTCTCCTTTCAGTTTCTGGCTATTTCAGTTAGATATATTGATTAATTAATAAATTATAGCCACCCGAAAACGTATACGCGAAATTTCCGCAAAGTGGAACATTTTTCGTTACTCTTAGATTTTTTCCTATATCTCGGGTATTTGAGCAGCTGCATTAATAGAATTATAGGCGTTAATAGTAGAGACATTCCCCATTCTAAATCTTCTTAAATATTGATTATTTAATAAGTTATAGCCTCCCGAAAATGTATACGTAAAATTTCCGAAAATTAAAAAAAAATTGGGTTTGATTAGATTTTTTCCTATATCTCGGGTATTAGAGCAGCTAAGGAAACACAATTTACACGATTGTCAAGTCAGAGCCTTCCTCTTTCAAAATCCCTTCATTCATAAGAATCACGTGAGTGGTCCACATGATATGTCCAGTAGAAGAGAACTACTGAAGAAATAAAACGAAATCGAAAAAAATAACCTTGTGTAAATTTTCCCCATATCTCGGATATTATCTCAGTTAAGTTTTTAGGATTTTTACTATTTTTAAAGCCATTTGCTTCTCCTTTCAGTTTCTAGCTACTTCAGTTAGATATATAGATTACTCAATAAGTTATAGCCTCCCGAAAACGTATACGCAAAATTTCCGAAAAGTGGAAAATTTTGGGCATTGTTAGATTTTTTCCCATATCTCGGGTATTTGAGCAGCCATAGGAACAAAATTAATACGATTTTCACGTCAGAGCCTTCTTTTCTCAAAATAACCTTGATGCATAAAAATCACTTGCTTGGTCCACATGATATGTTAATAGTTAAGAATTTGAAATTGTTGAGAATGAAAAAGTCCATGACGTTTTCTTTCATAATCAATCTATTTTAGTGAGAAATTTTGATTATTTCAAAAGTTATGGCCCATGGAAAATGGTTACGCAAAATAGTAGTAAAAAATATAAATTTTAGGTACTCTTAGAATTTTGGCCATATTTTGGGTATTTGAGCAGCTACATCATTGAAGCTTATAGCAAATTTTAGGTCAGATCAATTCCTTTAAAAATCAAGAAATTTGATTGAAATCTATTAAGGTTTTGAAATTATATTCAGAAAAATCGTACAGAAAATTTAACATGAATAAAAAAATTTTATGCTCGGTAAATATTGGATTGTATCTCAGATATTTCACCAAGTAGCAAATTACGACTGTTGAGAATTTTAAAACTTAACTCTTCTACTTTCAACATCAATTTATTTTATTGAGAAATATTCATTATTTGAAAAGTTATGGCCCTTAAAAAATGATTACGCAAAAAAATATAAAGATAGGATATTTTAGGTACTCTTGAAATTTTTTCCATATCTAGAGTATTTGAGCAGCTACATCAGCAAAGATTACATCAAATTATAGGGCAGGTATTTTCCTTTTAAAATCAGGATATTTGATTAAAATCCATTAAGATTTTGAAATTATATGACATTCAGACAAATCCTACTGAAATATTTCCATGAAATTAAAAATTTGATACCCAATATATATTGGGCGATATCTCGAGCATTTCACCAGTTAGGAAATTAAGATTGTTTAGAATTTGGAAGCTCACACTCATGTCTTTCAAAATCAATTTATTTTGGTTAGACATTTTGATTATTTCAAAAGTTATGCACCCTGGAAAATGATTACGCAAAAAAGTTAAGAGACAAGAAATTTTAGGTACTCCTCAAATTTTTCCCATATCTTGGGTATTTGTGAAACTACATCATTGAAGCTTATGGCAATCTTTAGGTCAGATATTTCTCTCTTAAGTCAGAATATTTCAAAAAATCTATTTAGTTTTTTGAATTATATGCCCTTAACAAAAATTCTACTGAAATATTTCCATAAAATTAAAAAATTTAAAACTCGATAAATATGTGGCTAAGACTCAGGTATTTCTTCAGTTGAGAAATTAATAATGTTAAGAATATTAAAACTTGTGTCCTCTACTTTTAAAATCTCTTTATTTCAGTTAAATATCTTGGTTATTTCAAAATTTATGGCCCCTAGAATGCTATTACTCAAGAAAACCAAAAACATGAAATTTTTGGGTACTCTTAGAATCGTTCCCATATCTAGGTCATTTAAGCAGCTACATCAATGATATCTATAGGATTTTAAGCCCAATTGTTTTCCTCTTCAATTCGTGTCGCGTCATTTTAATCCATGAAGATTTGTAAATTATATAGGTCAGAGAAAACTGTTACTGAAATATTTAAGTGAAATTATATATTTGACAATTTCTATATTATCGGGTGTATCTCGGGTATTTTGTCAGTTAAGAAAATAAGACTGTTGAGAATTAGAAAACGCACGCCCTCTTCTTTAAAAATCAATTTATTTTTTTAGAAATGTTGATTATTTCTAAAGTTATGGCTCCTAGAATATTATTACGCAAAAAATCGAAAACAAGACATTTTTGGGTACTCTTAGAATATTTCCCATATCTGAAGTATTTTAGTAGCTACATGGTTGAGACTTATTGGATTTAGAGGTCACGGACCCCTATTTTAAATCATGAAATCTCATCAAAAACGATTGATCTGTACAAATTATATGGCCCATAGAAATCGTAGAATCGTTGCTAGAAAACTTGAAAATCTACGTTGTCTTGTAATGTGCACAATATCTCGGCTATTTGAGCAGCTATATCGTTAGTCTTTTTTCCAAGATTAAGGGAACGATATAGGGCTTCTCAAATCGGATGACTTTATTGATATTCACGGAGACGTAGAGATTTTATGAGCCTTTGAATATCATTACTCTAAAAATTATGCCAAAAGCATAATTCACACTGTGTGTAACTTTTTTCCTATAACTCGGGTATTTGATAAGTAAAGCCACAAAAATTTGTATTTATTTAAAAATGAGATATTCTTCTTTACAAATCTTTTGATTTCTTTACAAACTTTTAATAACTTCCGAAGTTATGGTCTCTGCAAAGTTATTGCGGAAAAAATGCATGAAATTGAAATATTTGCGTATCTGTGTAGTTTTTGCAATAACTCGGGAACTTGTGCAGTTATGTGAATAATACTTATGGGATATTAAGAGGAGGTGTTTCCCTTTTAAAATCATGTAATATTATGGAAATATATCAAGGGGTTGCAGTTATATGGCCTCCCAGATGTTGTTACTGGGAAAATGAATTTGCATAAATCTCAGGTAATTAGGAAGTTATGTTTACAAAATTTTTAATTAAATCGAAGAACTACAAATGTCTTCTATCAAAAAACATAAAGTTTTTTTGAAATTTATGGACTGGATAAGAAGTTATGGCCTTCAGAACTTGGTTACTGAAAAGGGCAATTTAACAGAGCCGTAAGGGTACTTCAACATAAACTAAAAGCTCACAAAAATAATTCTGTAAATTATTTCCTTCGTAATCTCGGTCCTTCGGAAAACAATGAATTTAATATCTGGAGAGCAACCAAATATCTAAAAAGACCAAAGAAAAGGAATGTTGCCATTAAAACGTCATCAGGAGTTTGGTGCCGAACAGACAAAAGTAAAGTCGATGCTTTCAAAATACTTCTAGAGGATACATTTACACCATTTTCTTTTTGTGACAAGTTACAAGAGAATAAGGTCTTGGACTTTCTTGATGTTCCCTGTCAGATGTATCGTCCGATCAAAGCTTTCACTGTAAATGAAGTGGCAAACGAGCTAAAGAAACTGAATGCTAAGAAATCTCCTGGTTACGACCTC